AACAACAGTAAGAACAGAATTCATCATCATTGTTAAAATGAATTTGCTGGTGGAGTTAGATGAAGTAGGGCAGAATGAGGGGTTAACATCAGCTGAGGTCAGTTGGGCCATTAGCCTGTGCTGTGAGTTCTATATAACAAAGGCAACAAAATATTCCCCTTAGTCTTTAAAAACTGGTTGATGAAAGTGCCAGACAGCTGGAACAGCAGGACTACTAAGCAACATCCTTGGAAAAGACTTGAAGAATGGGCCATCAGCCAGTACTTTGTCCTTTCAGTGTGAGCCTTGGCATTAACTTCCAGTTAACTTCTTGACTACAAAGGGCATCACCGCAAGTCTGACTGAATTAGGTGAGGATTCAGTCCTGGAGCTGTGCACTGGTGTCCCAATTCTTAGTTTGACTGTCTTGTACATCAGTGTGGGAATCCTGGCAAGATTGGGAAGAGTAATACTTCTTCTCCATCTTGGGCAGTGCCTCAAATTATTGAATATTGAATGGCCTGGACAGAGTGGATGTTGGGAAGATGTTTCCATTGGTAGGAGAGATTAGGACCCGAGGGCACAGGCTTAGAGTAAAGGGAAGACCTTCTAGATTGGAGATAAGGAGAAACTTCTTCAGCCAGAGAGTGGTGAATCTATGGAATTCACTGCTACAGAAGGTTGTGGAGGCCAGGTCATTGAGTATATTTAAGGTGGAGATAGATAGGTTCTTGATTATCAAGGGGATCAAGAGTTATGGGGAGAAAGCGGGAGAATGGGGTTGAGAAACTTATTAGCCATGATTGAATGGCAGAGCAGATTCGATGGGCTGAATGGCCTAATTTCTGCTCCTATGTCTTATGGCATCAAGACGGAGTCTGTGGGACTTGAAATAACCAAACAGTCTAATTCTGAGCCCATATATCAGCTTGTATTTTGATGGAGCAGGCAGGTGGAAAGCTCCTTCTGTTGTTTGTGATTGACTCCATCTAGAACTGCTGGAGTTGTACAAAATGTTTGGCACCTTCACACAAAATTCTTCTCCAGTTTGGTCAGTCTTAAGGAGCAAGAGATTCCCATGAGTGGGTGATGATATTGCATTTTTTTCAGGGAAGCTTTGAGGACATCCTTGAAGTGTGTCCTCTGCCTGTCTGGTATCTGCTTGCCATGACAAAGCTTGTTTTGGAAGTTTTGCATCAGGTATGCAGACCATACATGGTAGGAACGCCTGAAGTTTGCTGTGAAGACTTTGCAGGCAGCAACCACTTGCTTCTGAACAGAAGGGTTTTGAACTCTGAATATTTGTGTTTTGGGAAACGTACTTGCTTTTAAGCAGCTATTTTGAACCGAAACCTCTTCTGATCTTTTACACTGGTGATAACTTAAACACAAAAGGGAGGGAGGTTTCCTCAGTGTAAATATCTGTAAAAACTCATAGCAAGCATGAGCAACTCTCATCATGTTAGAAAGAAGCTTGATACCATCCAGGTTAAAGCAGCCCACTTGATTGCTATGATTTCCACAAGCATCCACTCCTTCCAACATCGATGCTCAGTACGCACTGCTGCCACTACTATCTACAAGCGCACTTCAGAAATTCACCAAGGCTCATTAGATTGCACCTTCCAAACCCACAGCCACTTCCATCTAGAAGGAATTGGGAACCCCTTCACCTGCAAGCTCCCCTCCAAGCCACTCACCATTCTCACTTGAAAATATATCACCGTTCCTTCACTGTCTCTGGGTCAAAATCCTGGAATTCCCCCCTGAAGGGCATTGTCGGTCAATTACAGCAGGTGGACTGCAGCGGTTCAAGAAGGCAGCTCACCACCACCTTCTCAAGGCCAACAAGGCTCAGGTAATAAATGTTGGCCAGCCAGTAACGCCCACGTCCCACGTCCCACGTCCCATGTCCCACGAGTGAATTAAAAAAAACCATGGGAACCACAGGGAAATTTAGCCTTGCCCTCCATGATCAAGAACGCATCATAAAAATTGTTTAATTTTTTGAAATAAAATTGAAATCTGTAATAAATATTTGCTCCTCAGTGTTGAGTGTAATTTTAGTTTCGGATGATGGTGTAAAATGAGTGACTTTGGATCATTTAATTTATGCCCTGCCTGATGTACTGTGAAGTTTCTATAACAAAGAATTACACTGACAGTGCAGTGGGACATGTTGGCATAATATAAGCTGTTGGTTTGCCCAACGTTGTAAGCATATGAAAGTGGCTACAGTTCTTGGTTGTAGGACCACAGAACATCTATAGCACAGGGCCATTTGGCCCAACAAACCTGTACTGACTCTCTGAAAAAGCAATTTAATAGTCCCATTCCCCTACCTTTTGTCCCCAATCCTGCATTTCTCCTCCCTGCACTTCAGGTGCTTATCCAATTCCCTTTTGGAAAGCTACAGTTGAAACTGCCTTCACCACACTTTTAGGCAGTGGATTCCAAATGTTAACCATCAGATGCATAAAAACAGTTTTTCCTTCCCACAAGTAATATTGCTGGCTTCTCTTTCCCTCCCTTCTTGGTCAGAAACAGTGGCCCTGACATTTTTAACTCTCTAAAGTTTTGAAGTCTCAAATCACTTTCCCTTCACACAGACATTCTATGTGAACTTGACTTGCTGGTGCTGATGGTATGATGCATAGGTGTAAACAGAATTAGAATTCCAAACCACAGGGTTCACTACATAGTTGCACCATAACGTGGGTCAGGGTTCAAGGATAACCCTTGTGCATGGTGCCTGGTCTGTGCCAATGTTGGGTACAAACACCCAGAGTCTTCAAAACAATCACTGTCTGTGCTAAATGCAGACTGTCAGTAATTATAGCCTCACATCATGGGAATTATTTCAAAAATGCCAGACGTACAATTAAATTAATTTAAAATGCAGAAGATATGATGTCATTCAAGCAGGTGGCATACCACGATCTTCTCAAGAACAGTTAGGGATGGGCAATAAGTTCTGGTAAAACCCGTGACACCCACATCCCCATGAAAGAATAAATAAAAAAGCAAGAGCCCACAAATAACAACATTGAGACAAATCACCAATAATTGGAATTTGGTAGCTGCCTTCTCATTTTGCAATATCACATACTTCAACTCATCTAGAACTCTGGTGCTGTTTCTTAACTTGCACTAAGACTCTTTCACCCATCTGCCTTGTGCTCACTGACCTACATTAGCTCTGGCTGCAACAATGCTTGTATTTTAAAAATTCTCTCGTGTTCAAATCCCCATACCTCATTGCTCCCGTATCTATAATGTTAAAACCCTCCTTGGCCAATTCTGGCAAATCCTTGACTTTTTTCATTCTGTAGTTGGCAGCTCAGCTGCCTCAGGCTCAAGCTGCGGAACACCCTCCTGAATTCTCTCTTTCAGATGCTGTTTCAAATCTGACCAAGCTACTGGTCCCTTTCCATTCTCTAAATATTACTTGTTAATTAACGTACAGCTCCCTTGATGGATCAGTGGGATGAGGGTGTCACTGGCTGGGTCAGCATTTATTGTCCATCCCCAATTGCCCAGAGGGCAGTTAAGAGTCAAGCACCGTACACGATTACTGCCAAGCGAACCATGTCAATCCTGATTTCAACACTTCATTTAATTATTTCCTGCGATATGGGTATCATTGGCAGGGCCTGTATTTATCACCCACCCTTTGGACTGATTGCTAAGGCATTTCACAGTGCAGTTAACCCTAATCACATTGTGTTGAATTTGGAATCACAAACCAGGTAAGAATGACTGATTTCCTTCCCAAACCCTTAGGATGATTTCTACAACAATCAACGATAGCTTCATCACCATGTTTTGCCAAGAACTGCTTTCAATTCCAGAGTTATGAACTGAATTAAAACATTCCCCCAGCTGTTGTAACTCATTCAGAGATAGTAAGAACTGCCGATGCTGGAGTCAGAGATAACACAGTGTGGAGCTGGATGAACACAGCAGGCCAGGTAGCATCAGAGGAGCAGGAAAGCTGATGTTTCGGGTCAGGACAGTCCTCCGACGCTGCCTGGCCTGTTGTGTTCTTCCAGCTCTACACTGTATTACCCCCAACTGTTGTGTTGGGATTTGAACCCAGACTCTCACCACAGATACCACTGGCCTTGCTCCTTGCTCAAAGTCAAGTCCGCTAAACTGTAAATACAGGTCACAATGCTCTCAGTACCTTGGAAGAAGGATGTGAAGAAATGCCCCAGAGCTCCCAACCCTGGTTGTTGTTACTCAATGGACCCTGCTTGGAGAGTTTTAAGTGTCAGACGAAAACAGGAGTCTCCATGTATGGTCAAATAACCTCCTGGTCATGTCCAAGAACTCAACTTGACGGCGAGCCAAGGGCAGCAGAACGGAAGCATTAAAAAAAAACTTGAGCAAGACTGAAGCTTTTAGACGGTAGGGGCAATGCGTCACGTTAGAGACCACATGCTCGATTCCAAATTAGGGAACACTGTTCAGTGATTGAATGCACTCTCTGGAGAATGGGGACCCGAGGTAAAAAGATTAATTTTTCATTTGTGTTAAAAAGAATCACAAGAGACGGCGCTATAAAACGGTGGGTGACAGTTCAAACGGAAACTGAGCGAGAAATAAGCAGCGAGAAGCATTCTAACAACTCAGAAAAACTTCAACACTCACCAAGCACAAGTTGGTGAATTTATGTCCCGCACTCGAAAATGCTGCAGTCCACCTCAGGGAGACTCGCTCAGTTTGTAACAAGACAATATGTGGTAGGTTTCCCAGCATACTAGAGCTGGCATTTAATAACTGGCAGTTTTAATATACCCCGGAATAATTAATCCGCACCATCTCCCAGATAAGCAGCCGGTTTGAGTCCAGTACATTTATAGTAAAAACATGAAGAAGGAGAGAGAGAGGGGAAGGGATGATTTGTAGCAGAATAATACACTCCAATTATTGGCGTCCCACTTCCAACACCCACCCGGGGAGAATACAAGTTAAATTAAGAAACATCACACTCCATTTAACCAAAAGCGCAACTTTACCTGACGAAGACATTCAATCGCCTACGACCAAATATTATTGAGATCTTGGATTTGCTGGAATGGGAAAACAAACAAGTCGTGCAGTCAAAACCGACTGAGCTGATCATTCAAACCATATCTGCATAATATATAGAGTTACATTTATACTCGCAAGCCGTATACAATGTGACCTGCCACTGACTTTACTGGTTAATGCAGCAGCGAGCATTTTCTTTTAAATGGGATGGAGACACAGAGACAACAAATAGCAAGGTTTCACTCACACTGCATGGGTGGTCACTGCTCTCGTCCTATTAACCAGTGGATCATTCGGCTCCTTGGAGACTTTGCTCTCTCTCTTGTTTGTTGCAATCAAATTAGCCTCCAGACTGAGAGGGAGAGCCTGCACGTCCGCCGCCCACTGCACCCGAAGCTCACAATCATTTTGTTTATGATGTTGAGTGCTTTTTTTTTCAAAGACTGCTCAAGATTCCTTGAGGAAATAGGTCACGGCTGCAATCAAAACATGTGGGCCCAATCTTTCAGTAAAAAAAACCCTCTTGCTTTTAACCCTTTCTATTATTTCTGTCTAATAGAATTTACAGCCGACCCACCCTTTGAAACTTGTTGATTCCTGTGAATTCCCCTCCAAACCTAATTCCCCTGGAATTATATCAAAGTCAGAAGTCACACGACGCCAGGTTATAGTCCAACAGGTTTGAAATCGTAGCCCCTTCGTCAGGAATTCTGTCACCATCCCCTTCGTTGTCGCTGGGTTAAAATCCTGGAACTCCCAAACAGCACTGTAAGTGTCCCTAGATTCCCAACGACTGCAAAGGGTCAAGAGAAATGGCTCATAGTAGTCTTCTCCACGACAAGAATGAAAGTATTAATAGGGGAAAGGAGTCGGCCATTCAACCCGTCAAGCCTGCCCTGACATTTGATACAATCATGGCTGATTTCATTTGGACCTTAACTTCACTTTCCTGCCTGCTCCCCATAATCCTTCAACTCATTACTAAAAAGCCATCTATCTCCTCC